CTTTGGATTTGCAATGGAACTGTTCGTAACAACAGGAGTGGATGTCACTTTCGCACTTGCTTCTACCTTCACCCAAGGCTTGTGTTTATTCGTTACTCCACTTGAACTTTCCACGTACTTTGCCTTCCCTTGGGCTTCTACCTTCAAGATCAGACTACAAAGCACGTCAAAATCAAAACATGAGTAGAGTTCCACTATAACTGAGATATTATAATTCAACCCACTTGTAAAATGTGCCATCTTTGGTACTTCGAACTCCTCAACTTCTCCCAGCAATGTTAACTTCTCTATCTCATTGATGTATTTACCCACACTTAACTTTCATTTTTTCAAATACACCATCTTCTTATAGGTAGTCGATCTATGATGAGCATGAACATATCTTTTTTGGAGTTTCTATTTCAAAGATTCCCAAAAGTGATATTTTCTTTACCCTCACAGGCCCTTCTGTTCTTCAAGCCTTCATACCATAACAATGCTCCTCCACTCAATTTGAGTATCGCACACTTACAACAATTATCATCATCCAATTCTATAAACTCAAAGATTTGTTCGATATTTTTTTTGCCAATCCAAATAAACTTCAAGATAAACATCGCCAACAAACTCAGGTAACTCATTGACCTTCACATCGTCAGCAACCCTAAATTGTTCACTCCTAGGCTACAACCTTTCTCCACCTTCTTGCAAACCATTCAAGGCATAAATAAAATTTGGATCATTAATGTCCATGGTTTTTTGAACAAAATCATCACAAAAATCAAAATCTGTGGATCTGATACCACTTATGATGCATGTACAGAGGGATTGATTTCAATGACTTAGAATGTAACATAATATTCAAGATTAAAACCATGAACATGAGAATTATCAAGCAAATTGCACAACAAGAAATCGAGAAAAGATAGTTGGATAAACAATCTAGACCTATAGATTGAGAATCGATGAAAACAAATCAAGACCCTATTGATTTGAATTTAAATCAACCTAGAAAATGCGATATAGTATTAACAAGAAGGAGTAAGCAACTCAAAAGAACAGGGTTCTTTATTTCAACAATCAACCAACAAAAACATGAATCATAAAGGTTCAACTAAGGGGCCTTATATAGCCATATAAACGATAATAAAATAAGGCAACTAGATAATAAAGGAAACTTCAAAATAAAAGGAATCTTCCTTGTAAAGGCTTATTCATGCCAAACTTACCCTCTAGAACCTTCTAGCTAACTGACTTATGAGACCATGCAAACTCCATGTGTACGTGAGTCTTTCACATCTGCACTTTCACATCCAGCAGCCAAAACCAATCATTTGCAGTCACCTTCCCAAGCCTTGTATTCACATCGAGTCCTTTGGGTTTCACAGTCACAATGAATCTTTTGGCTTTCACCATTGCATTCACATCCACTCTTCAACACTTGCGATAGGTGGTGATCGTTTGCATCCAATCACACTTATTTGCATCTAACAACTGAATTTCATTATGAAAAGTTGCGATTCAAATTGCATCAAAAACGTTGACCACTTGACCATTCCATGTGTTATTCTTTGCAACAACTTCCTTCTTTAATCTCATTTCCTTCTTCAGTTTGTTCATCTCCTTCATTCTTTTTCTTAGCTTCTTCTTCTTGTTGTTCTATAGTTTCTTCATCTTCTTCATTCTTCCTCTGCTGGTACATCTAAACAAGAAAATATGGTGAGGTGTGATTGTGGAAGCATGGAAATCATAAGGACTTCCACCACTAAGAAGAATCCCGGTAAGGAATATTATGCTTGCCCGAATATAGTACTCTATTCTCAAGAAACATTTGAGTTTTTATAGGGTCGAAAGTAGATAATTAAAGTCGAAAGCTATATTCATCATTATGTGTCTATGATTATCGAAAGCTCAGTACTTTCGATATGTTATCTATTTACTAGGCAATTAGAGTCGAAAGCTATATTCATCATTTTGTACATCTGGTGTACCTTATAAATAAGGTATGTACTTAGGTCTGAGGATAGGTTTGAATACTTACATCACATTTTGTACTCTTACTCTCTGTACTCATTCAGACGTGAAATTAAGCTAAACAGATTATATTTAGATCTTCGAGTCTTTTGTTGCTCTTACAAAATCAATTGATTCGTTCATTGTTTTTAACACACTACCATTGGTATCAGATTAGGATTCATATAATCAATTTAAATTTTCTATTCTCGTATTTTTCATCTTTTTGAATCGTTCTTCTCGATTTAAATATTCTGCAGATAGAAACATAAAACTTGTGTCAATCGATCGAGTTGTATTGATTTTGCATTTTGTGTGTTTGATCAATTGATCTCTAATTGATTTCACTTTGATTCTCCTTAAATAAAAATTTTCTTTCCTTAAAAAGCATTCATCAATGGCGAACTTCAACTTGAACATGATGATGAATTTCTCTCATTTTCTTGGATACGCAACATAAATTCCGATGTTGATTCTTGAATACTACGAACAATGGGTTGAAAAAATGGAGGATTACTTGAATGGAATTGATGAACATTTGATGAGGTCAATCAATAGACATCCATTTCTTTCGGATATTTTAATTGTTGTTGGAACTGTTGCTCCTACTGAAGACATGATTATGCAAGGAAATAAGATGAAAGAAAATGGCAAGAGGTGTTTGCATTAATTACGTGGATAACTTTAACCAGTGATTTACAACTATGTTTGTGGATGTTCAACTGCAAAACAAATTTGTGACCATCTGAAGGAGAAGTACCAAGGCAACGAGAGGATAAAGAAGAGTTCAGCCACTCAATGCTTATTGGAGTTAAGCGAGTTCAAGTAGAAGGAAATTAAACCAATCGAGCCATATTATCATTGATTGAATGAGTTGATCTTTAAATATACTCGTTATGGAGTTACTCATTCGAAACTGGAATGCAATATAACTTTTCTCATGGGTTTGAGAAAGTAATGGTGAAACATAAGTTTGATGATTAAAATATAGGAGAATTTTGATGGTTATTCACTATCGAATCTTTAGAACATCTTGAAAGCTCATGAAAATGAGGTTAAAGATATTGCTAAAGAGAAGCCTTTTCATAAAACTCTAACAATAAAGTTAAGAAGTTTTTCATGAAGCCATTCAATGGAAAGTTCAAAAATAGTTTCGAGAGTAAGGGAGTATCGATGTCTAGAAAAGGTATGAAGGAAGTTGTGAAAATAGAAAGGAAGGAGGTAGATAGTTCAAGTGAGAGGAAGAAAGAAATGAAGTTGAAAGGTGATTTTAGTTACAACTGTAACTATTGCAATGGGTACAATCATTTGGCAAAAAGCTGCATGTTAAGGAAGAAAGATTAAAAGACAAATCTTATTATGTTGAAAAGCTTGAAGAAATTCAGTCTCAAATGAAGAACATCTCGTTAATTGCTTAGGGAAATGATGAAGATGAAGGTACATATCAAATATGGTCTTCAGGATCAGATGATAAAGTGATAGACCATCTGACTCATGCCATTTTGTATGTGAAGCTTGAGGAGGATGATGTAAAGGAGATGAGTTCATATGAGGAGAGTAAAGAAGAAAGAATTTCAGGAAGGTGTTTTGTTTCAACGGATGTAACAAAGTCACTTATGACAGCGAAGGTACATGATCTTCATACTTCATTAAAAATTCCTTCTACTTCTCATAATTTTTTTGTTTGATTTTGATAATACTTGTGCTTATCTTAATTATATGTTAATTTCCATGAGTATTGAAGCTAAGAAATCCAAGTCCTTATTATATGAAGCTCAAAATAAATGGGAAGAAAAGAAGGGCTTAGTTGAGTCTCTAGATCCTAAGGAATTATCAAGATTTTGGCTCTAGGGAGTTCATAGAGAAAGATTGTGGATTTTGAAGAGTGGATGAGGGGGATACTACTATTTATACGTGAATTTTGACCATACGCCCTGTGCATTTGAAGGCGCGCTCCGCTTGCTTAATAGCATGGGCAAAATGGTCCATTAATATCTATGGATTAAGCCATTAGCATGGGCAAAATGGTCCATTAATCATACACATTAAAAAACCAACACAAATTTTTTTTACCAAGTTTTATAAAAAAAATGCATCAAAATGTTTATAACAGCAGGGGCAAACTAGTCCCTGTGTTAGACAAACCCACACAACAAGCCCCACAAAACTGTTTTACCGATTTTAACACAGTTTTAACAGCATGGGTAAAATGGTAAACTTTTAGAATATGCATAAAAAGTAATAAACCATTTAAACTACATATTAAGCATAATTAAACCACATAATCAAGCTTGTACACATGACACTAAATGTTGGTAAATGTGCAGAGCACCAAAAGAAAAGCCTAAGCACCAAAAGATGTGCACTAAGCACCAAAAGATGTACCATTTCATAGTGTTTGACAAAATCCTAATAGAAAACACCTATCCTTGTTTTAAGTGACTGGATTTTCATGACTTTCCCCACTTCCATATTTTGTTACCAACTTCTTCCTTAACTTCAGTTTTGTGATCCTCTCAAAATTTAATCGCCTCTTGTTGGCAACAAAATGGTCATAAAAAAATAGGTTGATGTTGATCAAAAACAGCTTCATCTTGAACAACTACTTCATGGTGGTCAATTTCAACATTAGCTTATTGGTCGTCTTCAACATCAACTTCTTGGTGGCCAACTTCAACATCAGCTTCTTGGTGGTCTTCAACATCATCTTCTTGGTGGTCTTCAACATCAACCTCATGGTGGTTAATTTCATCATCAACTTCAGCATCAATATCACCATGAAGATCCCCTTCTTCACCAACAGTTTGTTCCTTATTCTGCACATTATCTATTGCATTTTTAAAACAAATAAATTTATTATTATACAAATATTGATGAATGAATAATCAAAATAAAAATCAACCTTCTGTGAGTAATGGACATCGCCTCTTGTTGTGTCCTTCTTGATGACAATTACCACATCTTGAGATGGACATCCCACTCTTGTTAATTGTATGCCTTCCTTCATTCTATGTAGGACATTTCCTTCTGTTTACTTTGGGCCTTCCTGACATTCTCCTATGCCTATATGTTAGTACGGGATCACATGGAACATCAGGCCATATGTTAGCTCCATTAATTGATTTGACTGGATACCTATAGCAACTTCCAAACATGCTTGTTTTAAACCACACAGCTACATAGTCCTCTGCATTTCCATTCACGTACAATATTGCAACGATGACATGCACACAAGGGATACCACTGAGTTGCCAGTATCTGCAACCACATGTTTTGTGTTCAAGGTGAACTGCATAAATTTCATCGACTAATTTCATTTCATATTCTTGCTCACCACTTAGAACAACATCCCAGTACCTGTTATGAAATCATATTAAGAAGGTAAGTTATTTCTATTTCTTATTAAATCTCTTGCAATTAAAGAATATACCTTTGTTGTTCTTTCATCTTCTCAATCCTCTTTCTAATAGAGGGGAAAATTTACAAGTCTCACTTTTCCCCTTAAACTTTTGATTGTACATCGACTCCATCACGTACAACCTAATTTCTTCCAGCATTGTTATTATGGGTTTCTTCTGGACCTCTATGATTGCTACATTGAAAGATTCATATATACCATTTTCCATGGCATCACAACAACTCTGAGGTTTAAAAAATGCCCTACACCCTATATTCAGGTCTCTTTCTATTAGGTGGTCATAAGCTTCTATGGACATTGTACGAATTTCCCTCATGTAAGAGCGAAAAGTGGATTTAGTTGTAGCCTTTGCAGCTCTCCAAAATAACCTCCTAAACTCGACATCCGTGAACCCTTTTTTCTAAAGTTGGCGAAGATGTGTTGGTCACAATTCCTATGCTCACATGATGGTGCCTTTTGCTTAACAGCCTCATCAAACCCTACAAAGTGATAGCAAATTTAAGTTGTAAAGCACATAAAAACACATAAATTACTAAGTAAAAGTAAACTAAAATACACCTTATGCTGGTCCAAAATAATTGTAAGACCCCTACCATCTCCCATCTCAATGTCTTCAAGTAGAAGATCTATGAACCACATCCAAGTTTCCATGTTTTCTACTAGCACAAAAGCCCATGCCATAGGGTACATTTGGTTGTTTGCGTACCTACCAACGAATGTTAACAACTCACCTCTGCAAATACCCTTCAAAAAACTACCATCAACACCGATCACCCTTCTACATCCTTAAATCCAGCCATCCTTGACAGACTTTAGGAAAACATACATACTTTTGACGTAGTGTGTCCCATTAGGCATATGATTTGTCTTAGTTAAGAATATTGAACCAAGATTAACCCTGAATAACTCAGCACCATAATTCCATAGTTTCTCATAATGGCTTACAAAACCGCCTGAAATCTCATCTAGTGCAAAGTAGTTAGCATTTCTACACTGCCTAAAACTTACCTTGAGACCATAGTCTTTCCTAACCACTTCTGCCATTTTCCTAGAGCTAAACCGAGGCCTTTCCAAAATGTTAGGTATTAACATTTTGCCAATCCACTTATACGTAACAAGACACTCCACTTTTTGTTGGCTAGCATAATTATCTTTATTAATTAGTGACTTGATTTAGAATTTGTTCATGGGAGTAACCCATAGTCTAAAAGGGCAAGATGGCTTCCCTTTTTCATTTTTACTGCACCTTACTAACAATTTAGTTGACTTATTTTTTTCATACCACAATGCATAACCCTTAGACACAACATAATTTGTTAACATGCATTTCAATTCATCTCGATCAGATAATCTCATACCTAACTCAGGCTTCATAGTGTCCCATTTTTGGTTAGGATCATGAATATGATGTTTTTTTTTTTTACCTTATCAACAACTTCGTCCTTTATGCCTCTTTTTGGAATAAGATTCTTCAGGGACAAAAAAGGATCAACAAGTTCAGGCCACTCAATGTCCTTATCATCAACTTCATGGTCCGCCGATAGATCATCCGATAATACCAAGTCCACATCATCTTCATATGTATCAGTACCAATGTCCCTTTCTTTAGCTTTCTCTTCTTCAATCAATCTAGTATAGGCTCGTGATAGTCATCAATGTAGATGTCGATCTTATCATCATCATCATCATCATCAAACCCAGCATCAAGGAACCTAACGTAATCATCTTCATCCCTGAGCTCCATTAACCTATCTACGAGGGACCGATTTTTAAGACAGTAATACATATTCCGACATCTATTATTGATCAGTTTTTGGAGGTAGGTCTTGAACTCCTTGAAATCCATGTTACGTACATCTAGCATTATAACAAGTAGTTTATGAGGATGAAAGTAAACAAATGGATTAGGAGCAAAAATGCCTTTATGGTAGACATCAGTGTTAAGGGGGTCACCAGACATGCTTGCTGCACACACGACAAACTTTCCTTCACCTTCTGTAAAAAAAAAAAAAAAAAAAATCACCTTCACCTGTAGATTTCACCCTTGTGTAAGAACCCTAGATATCGATGTCACCCTTTTTTAAGAACCCTAAATCGACTTATGTTCACAGTTTTCATCTTAGTTAGGTAAGTTTGGTGAAAAATTTCCACATAATTTCTTTTTAATAAGCCATGCCATATTTTTCCATTGATGACCGGTAAACAAACAACTTTAACCCACAGATGTCAGTCACTTTTATAAAACGATATTTTATTGGTAACTTTATTTAGCTTTTTAATAAAAAAAATGTTAATTTATTGGTTTTTCTTAACCAATTAAAATATAATTAGGGTAATATGAATGCTTTTAAAACTTCATTGGTCTTTTTAAGTCATTTTCCCAAAGAATAAACTATAACTATGAAAGTTTAATGTAACTTTCTTTATGTAATAATGAACATACAAACGAGTTCACGAATTACGAATGTGTATTGATAAGAAAGCATCCACCCATTTTATAAAACTTTTTTGTTTAACAAAATTAATAACAAAAAAAAAAAAAAGGTTACATATCAAATCAAAAATTAAAAAACGATGACATTAAGACCATTTTTGTAACTTAGTCTAAAATTAATGAGGGAGGACTCTCTCAATCACACGCCCAATTAACATACACATGAGAATACACATGAGAATACACATGCATGTCAAGGAACTACGTGCTACAACTTACAACAATTGTATACAATATTTCTTCGAGGTTTCAGAGCACTTGAGTAGCACCACTAACTGGCCGATGGTGTGTAGTGTCGTCGGAATAAAACCCATGCTTTGTCCCATCATACTTCTCTCCATCTCCCCATAATGCATACGCCTCCTCGCCGTGAACAGCATCATCTCCGATCAACAGTTGTTCGTCGGACATCCGCAAAGGAATGACCAAACCAATAACTACACAGATTATCGACGTCGACACTATGTTCCACCCAATGATAAACGCGCCACCAACTATCTGCTTCAGTATCTGCGTGCCGCCTGAACCGCCGTAAATGCCGCCCCTTGAGTTAGTAACCGGAAGGAAAAGTGCGCATAGGGTGGGCTCTGCGAAGAGTCCGGTGAGTATTCCGCCAAGGTATCCGGCCACCGCGTGAGTGTGGAAGACACCGAGGGTGTCGTCAACTTGTTGGAGTAAAGTCCATCTCTTGTGAACCACCATCATCGTGAACCATGGGATACTGCCGGAGAGAATACCCATGATGATTGCGGCCCAGCCTTGAACGAGACCGGCTCCAGGGGTGATGCAAACGAGTCCGGTGATCATGCCTTGGACAGCTCCGATGACGGAGGGTTTTCCGAAGAAGATGACGTCTAGCCAGGTCCAGACGAGGAGGCTGGTGGCGGCGCAGATGTTGGTGTTGAGGACGGCCATGGAGGAGTCGATGTTGGCGCTGTATGGGTCTCCGCCATTGAAACCTGCCCAACCCATCCAAAGCAGCCCTGCTCCGGCCAACGTCATTAGGACGTTGTTTGGTGGAAATCTTTCTCTATCTATGGTTAATCGTGGCCCCACCTGCAGACAAAATATTTTTATTTTTTTTATTATAATTTTTTACAATTTTAGAATATTTAAGGTTATGTATAGTTTATTAAGTCAACGCTTTTTTCTGATTTTTTCAAATTCATAAAAAATCATAATATATTAATATTAAATATGTTATAAACACGTTATGCTTAAAATGGTCCAACTTTTACGTAATGTATTAAACAGAGTTTCTGTTTTTTCAAACAATTATTAAACATTTAAATATGTCAAAATCTGTATTCAAAACAAATATTAAACAAGCCAAATTTTTTTTAATCATCGTTAATTTCGGTCAAGAGATTAGAATAACCATTTGCAATAATTTAATCAAAACCGATGTTTATTTTTCCTGTATTATTTTTCTCTAAATCAACATTATTTACCATAACTTTCTTGAACCATGCATAACGAGACAGGAACTTCTGAGATACGCATCAAGCAAGAAGTCAACCAAATGAGAGCATTCTTTTCTTTTCTTATTTAATAAGAGATAGGATCGATTTGAGATAAATTTAAGATGACTATTTAATTGGTAAGCATATGGCTAAACGTCGGATAATAAAAGAAGAGTAAATTATCACCAAAACGTGTAATAGCTGTTAACGACAGAATCTGTCAATTTCGATTACAATTTACAACTTGCAGAAAATATTAAAAATTTGAGTTAACAAAATAAAAAGTTTGTTTAGACTCAACAGGTTAAAAATTTAACTAGCAGCTATAAACTAGTTTATAAATTAATATTATTTTGTAAAAGATAACTGATAAACAATATTGTAAATGTAAAATGACATAAAACGAATATTTAGATATATAAGTAAAAAATAGCATTAAATATGATTAGGAAAGAATATTAAAAAAAAGCTCTATACCTTTTTTAAAAACTATTTCAAAATAATTTATAAAAAAAATAGTTTATAAGTTAGTTTATAATTTTTTTTTTTTAATTTTTTTATAGTTTTACCATACAACAAATTATAATAAAACTACTTTATAAGCCTATTTTATTTTTGAAAAAAGCAGAATGGAATTAAAGGTACTTATATCCATGAATAGGATCGAGGATTTATAAGGTAAAAATTAAAGCTTTGTGTTCACAAAATATTATTATTTAATGGATTTTCATATAGTTTGTGAATAAAAACAAATAGACATTCTTTTAAAATATGCTTTTTAAGAGAAAAAAAATAGTTTGTTAGCCGTTTAATGAAAAAATTAATTAACCTATTTTTGTCAAACTGTATAACGAAATATACTAATTGCTAATTTATATAATATTGTTTCAAATTTATATCGGTTCATTCATTAATTACCAAACTTGTTGATAACAAATTTGAAGATAAATGCATACATTAATTCAAAGAGGAAATATTTAAGTTGGTTTTGAATTTAAGACTGCACACAGCACACCGCAACAGGACCAACATGGCATGGAACTTTTGTTTATTTATTTTATCCTAAACCCGTTTCAATGTCACATCACACATCCCACGTAGGCATGTTTGTTTTGATGGATGGGTTTAAAGTTTAAATTGATCGGATCAAGCGAATTATAGTCTGATTTGAGTCAACCAAACTTAATAAGTGAATTAAGTTTGATTTTAGTTTTTAAAATATGAATCTAAATAATTTGTACCAAATTATGATTCAATATGAACCAATTAAATTATATTGAACCAAACTCTATTCTTTATAGTATCCAATCCACCAAAAATAACATTTATAGAAGTTCAAAATAAAAAAAACAGGTTAATATAGTAAAACGTATTTAAAAAAAATAATTACAAAGATTAAATACAGTTTAAAATGTTACGAATGGTTTTAAAGTTATTGCTTTGTACATGTGATCACTAATCTTGTATGAATTTCATCAACCGAGATTAACTTAATTGGATAGTAGGTTTACATAATTTGATTCTATTATGAACCGGCCTGCCCGGTAATATAATTACTAAAAAAAGATATATTAATTCTAATATAAAAATACGATCATTGGTATAATGGGAGATCAAATTTACAAACATTGTATATACCACATCGTGTGTTTTGAATACAGAAAACACATAAGATTCACAATATGTTATATATATAAACCGAGTCATGAACGTTAACTAGGGTAGATGCTATCGTGAAATTTGACATTTTATTTGGTTAAATTAATTCTACCTTTAATTATATAACTTTTATTTGAATTTGGTTTTTGAAATAGTCGAAAAGAGTACTAACCCAGTAAGCGGCTGTAAAACCAGCAACCCCAGAAGAGAGATGAATGACATAGCCACCGGAATAATCCATGACACCCCAGTGAAACAAGAAACCGCCGCCCCATAAGCTGAAAGCACCCACCGTGTAAGAGAAAGTCAGCCATAAAGGCACAAACGCCATCCATGCTCTGATATTCATCCTTCCAAGCAACGATCCTGCCAATAAGATCACCGCTATTGCCGCAAACACACATTGAAACCACACCATAGAAGCCATCGGATAAAATGGTGTTATCATCGCCGTCTCCACCTACACCCATTCAATCAAAAAGAAAAGTGTTGCGTTTATTTACGTGGGAGAAAGTGTAAAGTGATTGATATATACATACCTCGCCGTTGGAGTGGTACTGGGTAGAGGCCGGCAAGGCGGCCTGTTTAATAAGGAACTTCTGGCCGAGCGCCGGGCCGGCTTTGCCCCAGAAAGGGAGAAGCTCTTCCCCGAAGGACATCTTGTAGGCCCAAGTAACCCAACAGATGACGACGGCGGAGAAGGCGTAGAGCGCCATGAACGCCGAGTTCACCGCCCATTTCTTCTTGACGATACTGCCGTAGAGGATGACGAGGCCTGGCACGCTCTGGAGGCCGACGAGGGTGGCGGAGGTCATCTGCCATGCGTTGTCGCCTTTGTTTAGCCAGTCCGGTGATGATGCCGACGTCTGGTATGCAGATGGTAAGACGGAGGCAGCCATGATCGGAGCGGATATTGAAAGTGGAGAGTAGACTTCTCGTGCGTATGGCGATCATATAAGAAGAATCTACGATATAGAATCATGTGACTTCGTTTACTTTTTCAAAATTAATTAATTTCCTTGAATCTTTTAATAATAAAAAAAAGGATCTATCATTTAAATTTGTATAAAATTTGATTAAGAATCATCTAAATAATATTTTAAAGTGAAAATTAGAAAATATCAAAACTGCAAAATTTGTCCCTGGCGTTCGATAAAAACTGTAGATAAGGTTTAAAAGGTTTCCAACTTGCGTGGAAGGTTTAAAATCAAGAATTTTCTCTGATTTTGGTCCTAAAAGAATTAAAATGTCATTTTTCTCTTTTAGTTTCTTTTTGTTATTTCCTTATTTTTACTTTAATACGTTTTTAATTAAAAAGAAAAAGAACACATCTAGCATGTTGTT